CATTAGGTATGCTGATCGTTTAGGTACGCCGAACGTTTTGGTACGCTGATCGTTTAGGTACACTCATCGTTTAGGTACGCTGATCGTTTAGGTACACTCATCGTTTAGGTACGCTGATAAGCTCTTACCATGCAGAATGGTAATTAGTGAGATTGGCATCACCAGGATCCCCACCAGCATGTCAGCCACGGCCAGCGAGCGCAGGAAGAAGTTGGTGGCGTTCTGAAGTCGCTTCTCCAGCGACACCGCCATGATGACTAGGATGTTCCCGCCGATAGTGAGCAGGATGATGACCAGGATGAGCAAGGCCGGCCAGTTCTTCTCGCTGGTGACACCCTCCTGGTTGGAGGTGTTCGAGCTCTGGTTTCTCCAGCTCTGATTGAGACTAACAGAATGGTTAGCCGGCCCCGCGGAGGTCATCCTGAGCAAACCCGCCCCCTGGGCGCTCGTGGAGAGTCCCGCTAAGCTGGCCATCACTGTAGGGGTTGCCGATGACCCCGCTACTGATACTGCTCCTGATTCCATAGGTCCTTCTCAGGCTGCTTCGGGTAATCCATGCAGAAGACAGCAGGATCCCCAGGGGATGCTGTGGAGCGTCAGGCTACCATGGTCCTGTTGGTTTCTGAAATCCATCGAAGTCCATTGACGCTCAGTCCAGAGCAGAATCGAAAGAGCTGCAATAACAGATTCTAGATATATAACAGATACACCACCTTTATCTTTGGGTGTATTGGGACACTGCAGGCAAAATCCTAAGGCTTAATATAAAAAAACTACAGATGTTTACACAATGGCTAATGCCTCCTACAGATCATGTGATTTCAGCAGTCATATAAGTTTATTGCAACCACACTGTGTGACATGAAACTTATAAACTTGCGTACAAGATCAGTGTTGAGTGTACGATGATAACACCCCCTGAATCGTAGGCTATGACCTACGTCAGTATACAAGAATAAAACATGATCAGTTAGTTGGTTAGTAGATGTAGGTCATAGCAGCAAGCACATTGTAGGATGGTCATTCTAAATTTCTGACATTGCCCCAGCCAATCCGTGGTTCAGCTTTGAACCTCTCCCACAGTGCAGTGTAAGACCACCGTTTCGGAGCCAAGACCAGCGATATCGCCAGGATTCTTTCACGTTGGTAATCTTCAGTCTGGGATAGGCAAGAATCGCACAGTGATTTAAGACAGGAACCATAAGCATCTGCTAGGAATGTTAAAAAGTTCAGGTCACAGATCTCACCCGGTTTATCTAGAATTAGCAAGAATTCATTGGTTGGCTTACTAGCTTGTGTTAGGTGGCAGACGGAGCGTCACTGGCTCTCACTTCCATTTGGGGGCGCTGTGCTGAGGTCCAGTCCTGGGTTGGCTCCACATCTCAGCCGCTGAAACATCCCTGTCATGGCGGAAAATGGACCAAAACACCATCATCAGGAGAAGAAAGATTCAGATGATGACACTGAAAAAGCGACTCCCCAGGCGTAACACTGACACTCTGAGCAGCGGCTCGGCCTGATTGGAGGAAGGCCAGCACTGGCAGGGCGACTGATTGGCTGAAATTTGCACCTCTTCCATGCTCCAGCTGTTGTGCAATAGTGTCAGCCCAGTGAGAGAGTCTCTGAATGAATGACATGGGGGAGGGGGGTAAGGAGCAGCTGCAGTAAACATTGAAGGGGGGGCAGTATCTGACAAAAATCCTGTTAGCTCGATATCTTCATTTAAATATTCACATTTCGCTGCAACTCCCTAATTAGGTTACTAATCAGAGGACTGACTGGCTGAGTCTGGGTTTGAACACCAGACCTAAAGGTTACCCCAAAAACCTGCAAACACACTGGCCTTTTATGGATAAGTTTGCCCACCCCTGCATTAAAACAGCAGCAACAAAAAAAACTGAGTCACCAAGAAAGCACATATCTGGTGGGGCTAATATACTCTCAGATACGATTTATGTAAAAAATAACCTTCCTCTTAATTTCTTAGTTTCTTTTAACTGAAATGTCTTTCACAGACATCTAAGGATAAGGACGCCCCTGTCTGGGCGGAGCTGGGAAGCTGCTGGATGAGCAGTAGGGGGCGCTGCTCTCCTTGAACATAGCAGTAAATAAGAACAACAGTGCAGAGAAACAATGTCTGTGGCGGCTGGCGGCGCCGGCCTGCGGCTGAGGGATTACAGACATCCTGACTTGCCTGTTGTGTCACTAGGGACTGTAGAGCGTGTTAAAGCTTCCTGCTTAACAGCTTAAAAAATTGCCCACCCCCACGGCATGTTCGGGAGTCTGCAGCCCCAGCTCCCATTCAGGTCCTTTACCGCTATCCCAGAATAATAACTTTTGACTCAGATTTTCCACTTATGACCGAATAAGATAAGGTGTGGTGAATGTTATGGCAGGTACTCCCCCAAATCAATGTAAAGTACCCTAAGCATAGGCAGGCGCTATACAGATGTGTCATTACTAATAATCGCTATGCGGCTGTACGTGTTTAGGTTGTAGGCCTTGCTCGTTTACGATTAAAGCAGACGCCCTTCATTTCAGCTTATTCCAGGCTAATTGGACTGTTTCTTCTCCGTCGTGCGAGAGACATAACCGACGATGTGGCCATCGCCGTCACTGCGCTGCACCCTTCTGTAACGGCGATGCAAAGGCATTAAATTACAGCCCCGAATCTTTAAATCTTCAAAGGGGTGTTCTGCCAGGATTTACGGTGCTGTCCATCATGTTATTAGAGGTGTTTGCCTCTCTGAATAGTGGCGTTTCAGCATTTCAAAATTCCCAGGAAGATATCTCCTGGAAGATTTTTGCAGTTCCTTTCTTGCTTTTCCCTTCCTTCATCATCTCATGACATTTTTATACAAACCGTGTTTTTATACAAACAAAAGCACCAAGTTAGTGATCCTGACCATAGGCGACACATAATTTTTTCTGTCTCAGTCCCCCTGGAAACAAATGTTCCCAGCATATTTATTCTTGGGAGAGCTCACCCCCCACACTTGGCTAAATTTATGTTGGGGGGGAGAGCATGATGGGCTTCCGTATTTCTTCACATTAAAAGTAACTACCCCCTCATGGGAGCTGACTAATTAATATTAAGATTCATACCAATTCATGAAAGGACTTGCTCAGTATGTTATTTTTATTTATTTAGACTCTTTTGTCCAAAGTGACGGACAAGTGAAGAAAGCTTGGAGTCAGAGAGTCGAGGAGCTAAAGTCCTTATTTACGGCACTGCGGTGATTTGATTATTCTGCCAGCCACGGGATTTGAACCCATAGATACCTAACCTTCCTGAGCTGCTCACTGTCCACCATAAATACGATCACTCTGCCAGCCATGGGATTTTAACCCATGGCCTTCTGGACACGGGCATAGATACTTAACCTTACAGAGCTGCTCTCTGCACACCAAAAATATGATCACTCTGCAGGCCACGGGATTTGAGCCAACAACATACCTGCCCGAAGCAGGGTTCAGTCCCACAGAGCAACGTACCACTCTGGTCTACACGCACCATGCAAACACACTTCCTTATTAATGTCTGATATTCTGCTCTATGAGAATCCAGCCAGATATTGTGAAAATCAGTCATAACGGAGGCCCTTGTATGTCCTTGGCTGCTGAAGGATGTCAATGACTCATATTCCCGATTTGGTAATGCGGCACCAAGCTTTATTTCACTTTTATGAAGAAAGTGTTGCTGTGCAAAGCATTTGATGTGATAAACTAGGTACCTTCACTTCCAGACTTTCACAGAGTTATCCCAGCCTTGGAGGCCGTGGGTCAAACATAGGTATTTTTACATCAGGATTTTACACTGGAGACTCTTAACTGAATGGTAATGGAGAAATTCTGCAATGACTCTCTATGCATAATGGAGATGATGGGATCTGCCAGGTCCTCCTCTCTGCTGCGGCTGCACATCATGCCCCGAAGAGGAGAGCACTCTGCAGGTACTCTGCTATTGCAGATGCAGCTGGGTGGCCACAGGGTACTGGGGAAATGACCACCTCCACTCAGACTGCGCATTTTCATGTAAAAAAACTTAAACAAATGATAACTTAAACATATATCCACCCAGGAAAACTTCAGTTTTCCATCTTTATATTGGTGAGAGGTTTTAATCTGGGAAGTAGGCCTACCTCACACAGCAACTTAATTGTTAACCATCTAGAACATCCGCTTAAATAAACAAATAACATAGAAATTCAATTACGAAAATGCATTTGAACTAGTCAGGATTACCAAAGACTTATTTCCTGACTATAACCAATTTTGTTCTTCATAGATACTTATCTTATAACAGCTTAGTAAAATCAGTTAATAAATCTGACCAGCTTTTCTGCAGATCCCTGGAAGATGTTTTATGGTTCATTGTCACCTTCGGCGCACTTGCATGCTTTGCATTCTGGGGGATTTTATGGGGAGAGCAGAGCCCTGGCTGGGCATACTCACTACTGTCCCAAACATCCTGCATTTGGGCTGTGACTCTGGCTCTGACAGTGGTTTGGTGACTGTGACTCTGGCTCTGACAGTGGTTTGGTGACTCTAGCTCTGACAGTGGTTTGGTGACTGTGACTCTGTCTCTGGCTCTGTTTTTGTGATGCCCCACAGCCTTAAACTAGCTCTTCATGGAATTAAATTTGATCATGGCAGGATTTCCTCTGCTGGGCTACCTCAAATAGTACCTATGTTTATGAATACAAAATTATTTAACATATATCTTTCACTTCTTGAAGAAGTACTAAATTTCAGTCCCACTTTCACTCTCATCCGCATGAGGCCACAACCAACAAAATGTGCAAAATCCCTCAAATTCAATTCAACAAAAACTTCCCGGATTGCTGAAGGTTAAACGGGAACAAACATGCCTTCTCTGCACTGTATATACTGGACACAATGATCTTTCGTTTTCTCTGCCAGTTTTTATTTTTCCCCCGGTGTAGCTTGTGAAGTCTGTTTTTCCAAGACTTGTCTTTCACCCTCCAATTACAAATGACACTGCCAAAGGGCACTTAGACCTTACGCCAAATGCCTCCTCTTCCTGTCATAGTATCTCAGTCATTCTGACAGTTTCCTTCAAAATAACCTCACTCCCATCACACTGTAAATGAACATCCTCAGATTCTATGGTTTAGACCAAGGCTGTGCTTTATGGTGCCCTCTCTGGAATTTGAGGAACATCGCCTATCAGTCAGATCAAAGATAGCATACCAATGTTTGCATGTAACAGCCATGTGCACAATAAAAGATAAATATGAGAACTTGGTCATGGTACCCACTAAAACCATGTTCTCATCCTAAGGAGACTCCATATTATGTTATCTCTGCAAATTTCATTTTGACTGGCCCATGAGATCAACTAAACAATACCTTAATAATATAAACAAATTACATTCAACAACACAGCAGTCACAACAGTCAGAATCAGCACACCAGTGTCCCAGCCTCAACAAAGACTGTCTGCTGTGAGCGTCACAAACCTCAGAGACCCAGCCTCAACAAAGACTGTCTGCTGTGAGCTTCACAAACCTCAGAGTCCCAGTCTCAACAAACACTGTCTGCTGTGAGCTTCACAAACCTCAGAGTCCCAGCCTCAAGAAACACTGTCTGCGGTGAGCGTCACAAACCTCAAAGTCCCAGCCTCAACAATGACTGTCTGCTGTGAGCGTCACAAACCTCAGAGACCCAGCCTCAACAAAGACTGTCTGCTGTGAGCTTCACAAACCTCAGAGTCCCAGCCTCAAGAAACACTGTCTGCGGTGAGCGTCACAAACCTCAGAGTCCCAGCCTCAACAAAGACTGTCTGCTGTGAGCTTCACAAACCTCAGTCCCAGCCTCAAGAAACACTGTCTGCTGTGAGCGTCACAAACCTCAGAGTCCCAGCCTCAAGAAACACTGTCTGCTGTGAGCTTCACAAACCTCAGTGTCCCAGCCTCAACAAACACTGTCTGCTGTGAGCGTCACAAACCTTAGTGTCCCAGCCTCAACAAAGACTGTCTGCTGTGAGCGTCACAAACCTTAGTGTCCCAGCCAGGGCTGTGGAGTCGGTAGATAAATGCTCCGACTCCGACTCCTCAGTTTCTAAATCTTCCGACTCCGAATCCGACTCCTCTGTATGTATATACTATGCTAATGTATTTTCTACATCCATTGAAGGAAAGGAAGGCAACATACATGTCATTTCACCACAGAACTACTGGCTAGGAAGCCAACACTCTACTATAATGCCAGATTAAAGACAAACACAATGAAAACAAGGATTTTGCCACCGACCGATGTGCGTGTACAATCGCGGCAATTGATTGGCGGCCGCAGATTGCGGGTGTCCACATGGACGGGCAGATCCAGCTTGCCGAAAATCTTGACCACCGCCCCCATCCAAAGTAATGTGATGCCT